ACCCACCTTCTTTTGCCACGTTGATTGCTCCAGGTTGATTACTAAGGTAGTAATATTCAAATTCCCAACTTCACATTCCATTTGACAACCTCTCTTGCATTTATAGAAAGGTTATCTAGGTTAGTCTCCTGCCTCTGTGCTTGTCCAGCCATGCATAAATCTTTTCTGTCAGATTACTGTATGCATCAAAACCTCTAATGCTGAATACTGTAAGATATATGGCATTTACTTCTTGTCCTCTTCAGTTCCACAGCACTAATGCTTCCAGTAGAATGAATTGACTGTCTTCACAAGACCTTTCCACAAGACTGCTGGGGGAAGGTAGGCAGTAAAGACAAAGCAGAGGTATGTGTTATGTGAAGGAAATCCCTGGCTGAGGAGAAACCTGGTGTGAAACCAAGGAGGTGTCTGCGAAGACTCTCCAGGTCTAGGTCAAAGAGCATGCAACAGGGATGATATTGTGATAGAGATCTTTGCCTGACTTGATGACATCTCTGAGGCTGTCTACAGACAGTTAAGCGGAATCCCCTGATGAGAGCTGTTGATCCACATGAGGGATTTTGACCACATGGACACCTGCGGAACAGGCAATACAATTCTTTATCATTGTGGAAGTGTCTAGAGGGCCCTGCTTACAAATGCCTCATGTGAACTCTAAAGGGCCCAACCAGGGGAATACTCTATTTGACCAGGTGCTCAAAAAGGTAGAAAAAATTGTGAGTGGGACCACTGATGCCAGTTTGGTTTGCAGTGACCAGGAAAAGACTGTGATCAAGATCTGGAGACAGGCACTGAAGATAAACTGTGGACTTGGACTCCAGACTTCAAGCCAGTAGATTTTGATCTATTTACAATACTGCTGGAGTAATCCCCTTGGAGTCTCCTACAAGGGGCACCCAGAATACCTAGCTGACTTTTAGAGAAAAATTAGTTAGATCTCAGAATAAAAGTACCCCTTCATGCAGGCAGATCAGGGAATTTAACCAAAAGACAATTTCTCACCAGGAAGAGAACTTAAACGCTAGAAATCATACAGGAAGGGAAAACTAGGACAGAAAACAAAGGGAGAATAGGAAAGTATTGCTTATGCTGTTAAGGATAAAAATCATAAAGACCAAAACCCGATTAGAGCTAAAGTTAGTTAGCGACATAAAAGGTAACAAGAAGAATTCTTACAAGTAAGCTAATAACAGAAAGACATTCAAAAAATATCTATGCTGCTGAATGGGAGAGCCAATTGACAGACAGATTTTATGGAAAAAGTTGATTTATTTAATGACCTTTTCACCTCAGTCTTTGCAGACAAAGCAAACTTTTTAACTTCTGCATGTATCAGTCTTGTTTTGGCAGCAGGCATATAGGAGACCAAGAATCCTGGGACAATTTAAAGAAGGACTGAAGTACAGGATACCAGATCAAATTGACCTCAAGGTCAACACCTGGGGCTGGCTAGAGTAAGCTCAAAGTTACTATCATCTATTAAAAAGTATGGTAATCAAGAAAGGTCCTCAACAAGTGGAAAAAGGCAAATACTATATTCATCTTAAGAAGGAAAGGAGATAAGGGAACTCTGAAACAGGTAATGTCACTTTTTACATTGGAAAGTTCACAAATAGCATTCAATTGGAATTAATTTCCAAACACATGGAAGACAAGACAGTCAGGAGAAATACACACAGACTTATCAGTGGCAAATCATGCTCAACCACTCTTAACGACTTCCATGCTGACACATGGGATCAGGACTGGTGTCCCTTCATTAAGGACCTGGATGATGACACAGAATGCAAACTTGACAAATTTCTGGATGATATTAAGAGGAGTGCCCAACACAATGAATGACAAAAATTCAAGTCAGTAGAATCTGGGGAAAATTCACAGATTTTGCCTAGAGGAGTCACAATAAGTTTAACAGGCAGAAGGGCCAAGCTTTGTACCCAGGGTAGAAGAGCTGTGGTCGGTGAAGACTGATTGGATGAGCAGCAAACAGGCTGAAGGGACTTGGCCACAAAGCCAACAATATGCTCTTGCCCTGACCTAGGTGAACTTTGCTGAACACACAGCAGGAACCTAAAGAATATGACTGACATGGAGAGGTTGAGGGAGATGAGATGTTTTCAGTCTGGCAAAGTTAAAGCTAAGGGCCATATTTGAAGAAGCAGAGCTAAACTCTTTGCAGCAGTAGCAAACAATATAAACGGGACTATACAAGGTACAGTGCAAGTTGGACAAAGCAGGTTGCATGTACAGAAGAATTTTTCATGATGAAGCACTATACCAGGATACCCACAGAATACGGGGGTGCACCACCAGCAAAGGTTATGAAAACAAAGCTTCGTTCTCACCTCCAAAGGGAAATCAGAATAGATTTTAACCAGAAATCCCTTCTAACCAGCACTTTCATCATTGCTTAGATTTAGCAGCCCTAACTGCAAAAGTTTGATAGTTTGAAGGTAAAATTATGATTTATATTTTATCATTTATTAATTCATATTTTGAAGGCTTCAGTTCCAGGAAACCAATGTTCAGTGTGACCTTTCCTATTAAATTTCTCCGTGTCACAATTTAGGTGTTTTAGCTATGGGTCTTATACAAGGTCTTATAATTCAGCTAACTTGTGACTGCATCTTTCCAAAACAAATTGAATTTTTTTCTTTTTTATTTTATTTTTACTTTTATAAAGATCTCCCTTTTGACACTGCATTTTATCATTCCTTGTTTATTCTTCTCTTTACATACAATAAAAAATAAACTTTAAATCCTAATCAAAAACCTGTTTAAGTGTGAGCTAGGATCCTCTACAACGTCAGAAAAGTAAAAATTTTGCAAGTAGAAACAGATTACTTATGTAGCGGTGATTTCATTCCGTTCAATTCATTCTGTTCAAAACATCACATTGTTAGTTCAAATGGAACAAAGCCATAACCAGGCAAATGGAAATACTTTCCATCCATTTTCAAGAGATTTGAAATTAACTTTTTCTTGAAAAACTTAGTTTAAACAGCCCATAGCAAAGATAGTGTCTTTAGTTAGCTTCTGCATACAAACACTAAGTATTTACTTTTCCATAAGATAAAATCAGTGCAACCTACATTAAACTAAGTCTGCTAACACAAGACCATTCTGCAATATCTGTTCTCAGAGAAAAGGACAGGGCATATGATCAACAGACAAAAAATTCCCAACAGACGAATTAAGTTAGTTATATAATGTCACAGTGACAATTGTAGTTGGAAAACAGAGGAATGAACAAACCAGAGGTCTTTTTTAACAATATGAAAGGAGAAACTTATAGAGAAACTGGAAAAAAAAGCAAGCATTAGTTCTAAAAATAGATAGATAAGACAGTTTTAAAGCCAAATATATTCTCCCGTTTCATCAGTAGTACCATAACTGTAACAGTGATACATACAATAATAATCAATATTTTGCTTACTGAATTATAACAAATAGAAATTTACTCACTTTTCTAGCTACATCTTAAAATATTTTTTCTCTATGAAAAAGACCTTATTATACAATCATTTTTGCACGACTTATTCATCGCTGTTGCAAAATCTGTTTAAATGGAAAAAATAATAGGCTAAATCAAATAAATTCTGTTACATTCCACGTTACATACAGATTTTGGTTCATTTATAATCTTATATGGTCTAGCAATTCAATTTTCAAAAGATCTAAATTCTATTGACTAAGTCTTCTAGTAAGATACATTTTAAGTATTAATATCTCTAATAAAGTGTCAAAGTAAAGTTTTCACTATAAATAATGGGTTTCTTATATGCCCAATTGCTGTCAGCTGGGTGGAAGTGTGTAAAAACTCTCCAGTTATTCAAATGTAGGTAATTCACAGGGACCATATCAATGTGGGTCTCATAAATAAATTCTAAGCTCTTCATTCTGATGATCCAGATGGCTTCCATTCACAACTCACAATGCAACTGTATTAATTGGTATATTTATTTCAGTGACAAAGTTAAGTAAGCAAATGAACACACATACACATTTACTTAAAAGAAATATAAAATCAGCCCTAAGTAGGTTTTGTTACTTGGGGATGTTTTACTTCCTGAAACATGTATCTCTCTGCCTGGCATTAGTCTGCTTAATTACTATATGTGTGTGTTCAAATCTCAGTACCTAAACCTCAATGTAACAGGGTAATGAACTAACACATAAGTGAATTTTCTTACTCAGGGTTTCAGCTTATGTAAACGGTGTATCTGGGCCACAAAGGACTTGACAGTGATCAATAACGTGCATATAGAAATTCATCTTCATGACGCTCTCTCTGACTCCAATGGTTTGTGGTTGAGGCAAAAGCAGGATCACTTAATTTGGCAGCTCTCAATTACTATATTTGCTGTGCTCCTCACAGACTCTGCAAAGTCCCATAAACTTTTGGCATATGAAGTGTCTTGAGTGAAGGAGTTCCACACTTTCCCTCCACGTTGCTTAAATAACCACTGTGGTGCTGTTTTGGAGCTTGAGTGGCTAGTTTGTTGTCCACGACCACTGAACACTTGAAGCCATTCATGATCTTACTGCTCTACTTCTCTTTCGCGTTTCTGTTGAGCAGAAGAATCATTGCCTGCTGTCACTTCTCAGAATCTAATTCTACCATTTCACTACCTTTGTAATTCATTCTCTGAAGTTTTTAATTTAAATACATTTTTTTTTCAGATGAGGAACTGGACATAGTGTTTAAAAAGTTGACTTTCATGGTCTACTGCACTTCTGTTGATTGAAGTGCAGTGAAGTGATTGAATATAATGACATTCACTTATTTTCTCTTTTACTTTCCTAGCAATTTTTAACTGCATATGTGCATTTTTTTTGACATCCTGAGAGCAAGACTTACATTTTCATAGAAACATTAAACTGCTAGATATCAAGCTAAGTGAAATATGCAAAATACAAAATTGTTTTCATACATATCAGTTTACATTTATCTTCACTGAATTCTATTTTACATTTTAATAACCAGTCATTCAGGCCACTCATATTTAATACTTTTAATAATTTAGTATGACCAACAAATTTACCAAATAACTATACACTACTTTTCCAGCATATTCACATGTTCAAATATATTTAGAGATGCATGGATCCCAGTACATGCCCCATGAAACTTCACTCATGGCCTCTGTCCACTGCAAAAACTGAGCAAAATCACCATTTTCTCCCATATTTTACATTTTTTTTTAATGAATGCAGCCCTTTCCTCTTAGGCAGCTGCAGTTTTCTCTGTGTTTTCTCTTAGCTAGCTGTGCAATTTCCTGCAGTGTTTGGTATTATTGACACTGTTAAACACCTTCTAGTTCTTTTCAAAGAAATATTACTATAGTTTCAGCTGTTTTGCCCAGTACTGATCTAATTGTCTATACTCTTCTTTCAACCTTTCTGAAATTTATTTTAAAATTGGAATATAGTTGTGATCTCACATCTCAAAAGCTATCAAAATAATTTTATAAAATTAATTTCATACCACAGTTATCATTTTGACTATTCTGTCCCTGAGTGCCTTTAAAAATCTTAGATGTGTACCTCTTTATTTTGTTTTGTAACACCTCACACTGACAAAGCCATATGAGTTCCTCCACAGGGAAAAGTTTATGTGTAAGAATCTGCCAAAGCCCTTTTAGGGAACAAGCAGAATTGAAAACTTAAGACAATTTTTTCCCTATAACTTCTTCCAAGTGCTACTGTTTTCCTTGATTATCTTTCGGCATTACAGACTTTTTGCCAGACTTCCCTCTGCTCTGTTGTAGAAATAGAACTTCTTAACTCTTATGTTTCTTGCAACTATTTTAGTCAACAAATCTCTTATGTATCTTGCAATTGTTTTGATTAACCATGCTGTGGTATTTATTTATTTATTTACCTACTTATCGTCTTAATAATCTTATAGTCCTTACATTTTCTTTAAAAATCTTCAGCTATCTGAAGGATGTCTTCTTGCCCTAAGCAGCCTCTGACACCCTGCTACTTAGCCATGCGTTTCCCTTTTACCCTTTCTCAATCCTTTCTTGCTAAGCAGGATGTATTTGCTCTCTGCCTTCGATACACCACCTTAAATAGTCTCTGTGCCATCTGCTATGACTTAACTCTCTTAGTATTCCTTCCAGGTTTTCTCTGACAGGAGTCCCTGCTTATAATTGTCCTTTCTCAAGTTGAGCCCAACTGTTGGGAGATTTTTTGGCTTCTTTACAGCCCTGCAAGTCTATTGAATCTAGAGAGAAATTCAGCTGAAGTAATTTGAACCACATCCACCTGGCTTTTACTTCTTCTCTTATGGGATCTTCAACTATCCAGCCCATGAAAATCATTAATTTAGTCTCAGCAGTCCTCTAAGCAATCTTACCGTAATGTATGAGTCACTCTGTTCAGCTAATTTTCTCTGTAAGATCCAGCCTCAGTAACAGCCTCCTACCTTCAATGGGAGCTCCAGAGCAGAGCAATGGCTGTCCTTCTTCCACCCCTCCTCAGACAGCAGCCTACCACTTAACCTGTGGTCAGGTCTTATTTACAGCATCATTGCCTTGCTGTGGACCCAGCACACCACCGATCGCAGAAAAAAATCTGTCCCTTGGGAATATTCATGCCATGTGACACTTGGGGTGATCGTTTGAGTCAGGAAAGGGACACTTTTATAACATTCTGGTGATCACCAGATTTCTGTAATCTTTTGCTTCCATTTTACAAAATAGCTATTTTAACACGTCCGTATTCTTTTCATGAATGATGGTGGTCCTCGTCTTTTAAAAAAATTCAAGTGCTGAAAGTATGTCTTGTAGACACATCCAGAACTGTCAGCATTTTTCTTTGCGCATCTCAGCATTTCAAGCCTATTGGCTGCTTCAGGTGCCTTTTCAGATGCCAGGTAATGAAATAATGCACTATTACTCTAGAACCGTACCTTCAGGCGCTTCTTATACACAAAACACACATAAGCCTACAAAAGGACCAACCAGTCATCATAACATCATATTAGTTGAAAAAAGTTCTGTTGGTCTTGTCAATATGCTTAGACTAAGACAAGGGAAACAAAACAAATTTTTTATTGTTTAATGAGATAATCTAATTGTCTGCTCTGGTTTTAAACTTTTTGAAAAAGCATTTCAGTGCTAATTATTTGTCAACAATTTCTGAAATCTTGTGTCGAGGTGTTATCTCAGGTGAGTATCTGCATAGTATACAGACATCAGCTCAATTTATATCCAATATTAAATACTCACCTAAAGATTTAATTTAAATCTACAAAAATCATGCAATCCAGATTTATCCCAGTGTCACTGGTAGTAGAATAAAACATGATACATAACAGTGCATGTGTGTGCACATAGATGTGCACACACTTCCAGCATGAAGTCCCAGTTAAGCAGAGCTCCAAACAACGCGTGACTGATCAGAACTGTGGTTTGCAGTGTTATATTCCAACTACATTTGTCATTAAATTAGGCCTACGTGCTGGTATATGTGCATTATTTTTGCATTACACAGATTATATAAAATCATATCTGGGACCAGGTCATTATTTTTCATATCTCATGTATTTTTCTGAAGAAAACTGTACATTGTATCAGGTGGGTTTTGTGCAATAAAAATTTTACAAACAAGCTGATCTAGAACTCAGAATAGCAGAAAAATATTTGCAAGTAGTAACAAATTATTTCACTAGATTTTTATTGGGCTATTTTCAGATATAAACGAATGCATTTTGTTCACAAAAATAAGAGCTTTCCAAGTTTTATCATTAGGCAATAATGGAAGTCTTCAAATTAGTATTCTGAAATTTTCTTACTGTTTCAGTAATGTTGCCCCTTTCTTAAACAACTCTGAATACTAGTTTCAAAGAACGAACTTTCCAATTTTAAAGTATAGGTTATCAAAAGAGGGAGCAAAACCAAGCCCATGCAAGTCGTGTGTCCAAACAAGGTATTCTAATGACACAGAAATGACATCATAGTAACAAGATTGTAAGCCAACTGGAAAGCTAAATTGTGTGTGAACAAAACACAACCATCATTCTTTAACAAATACAAAAAAGGTTTCATTTATCCATTGCACCAATGGAAATTGACCACTAACTTTCTTTAAAAGAAAAGAGTCATATCATCAGATCATCCCAAGTTTTGCCAAATGACGGAGTCTAATATAAACTTATTATTTCATTTTCTGATTTCCTGACAAACTTCAAAAGCTGTTTATGGCTTCAGAGTCACAAGCAAAGACAGAGCCCAGGTCTTTCACCAAAAAATACAGTAATATGAGCATCTTTTGCAGAAACAGGACTTGTGGCACTTACTTCAGCAGAGCTGGCATTTCATTCATGAGCAGGTAAGGGTGCGCATGCGTGCACACACACACAAACATACACGCATACACTGGTTAGTACATTAGAGCAGAGCAACACATTTTTAAGATATTTGCCCTTTACAAAGTTAACCACAGATTAATTTTTTTTGAAAGATATTTTTTTCTGTTAGTGAGCACTTAATAGATTCCATGAAGCAATAAAATAAAAGAAAAACCTATTCCGCTTTATAAATCAGATACATATGACTGGATTTAAGATGAACGATTTGAGTGAACTGGGAACCAAATGCATTACTTTTCTCTTAAAATTACACACAGGCTAATGGACTAAGAAAAAAAATGAAAAAAAAAAGTTTTTATTCAAAACAGCTCTAGCATTGAAATGTTCAATAACTGTACAACAAACCACTGCATTAGATGGATAACAATGACTGTTCTTAACTGTAAAGTGTAGATCATCCTAAGGAACAACCTCTTATTCTGTAGCTTTTCAAATTACTATCAAATAGTATCAACTTCATGGTCTTGTCAGTACGCTAATACAAACAAAAAACCAAACAAAAATGCTAGCACACATGCACCCTAAAAAACCGCCAACTCCCCAAAAAACTAAACCAGTTTTTGAATAAAATGAGACAGCTGACAAAAGGTCTCTGTATAATTTGGGAAACCACCATTATTAGACTACATTCATGTCATTCTTAAACATCCAAATCTTCACTTACTAAAATCCACTGATTTTATAAAAAAACCCCTAACCATTATATATTTAATTTCTTCCTGTGGTTATTAAAATAAACTATGTTCTGAAATTAAGAGTTAAAATACCTCCTTTTGTTTTCCATACATACTTGCCTATATAAATATACTTCATCATTTTACAAATTACAGTATTTATATTAAAGCTTTCATTCAGCAAATCATTACAGCTTAACAAGAACAAACAATTTCTGTGTTTTGGTTCTGTCTTTAAATCACTTTTGGAGATAATGAAAACCAGCCAAAATGAGTGACTGCAAATAATACAAACAACATATTTATTTAGAAAAATAAAATGAAAACGCTGCTTGTCTGTTAGATTTCTCCATGAAGTATAGACAAATGGCTAGAAAAATTTAATGTCAAGTACATATTACAAATGACTTCTTTAACAGTAACTGGGACTAAAATGTCAATGTTTGATAGGAACATTTTGGATGTATAATTCAATAGACTAAATTTCTTGGCTGCTAATATGATAAAAAAAAATGGATACTATTAAAAAAGATTATATCCCCTTTTTAAATACACCTTATCATGTTGATGCTTCTTCATATATATACATATATATATATGTATGTATATGCATGTATTTATTTAATCCTAAGAAAGGACCATAGTCCTTTCTGTGAAGAGATCCCCATAGTGAAAGAGAGCATAAATGTCTTTCTTCAGTTCTAACTTTTTAATTCCTTTTGGAGCCCCAGCAAAGTATAGCTTGTGGTCAAAAATCTCCTGGGGCCATCTGTGCAAATGGTGGCACACATCGTTACCCTGAATGGAAGTGACAGTGCAAATACTAGAAGTGCATTGCGATGCAATCTCTAACAGCGGAACTTCCTCAAAGTTGGGTGGAGGACAGGAAACAGCATCCTTCTAAGTGATTTAACTTCACTGATGCCCTGTTCCTGTATGGCTTTGAATATGTACAAGGGATGACAGAGGTCTTCTTTCCCCACAGACAGCAACACTCCTCTGTTATAGTAAATGTATTCATTTTCTGATATCACAAGTGCTTCATTTCTCCTTTTGGCTACATATTGAAATATTTGTGGATGCTGGCTGTACTCATAAAAGACCTCACTGTTTGTTACTCTGGTTGCTCAGCACAGAACTCAGGTGTCAGGCTTGGAGACAGTGGTCTCTGCAATGGGGCAAGACATTTAGTTCTCTCATCCTTCTTTCCCACTGAATGGAATTTAAGGCTGTGGCTTTTGCCAGGACTCAGCTTGTAGCTGTCAGATCTGAGAAAGATGACTCAATGTAGATTACATTAGTGACCAGTTGTGCTCTCACTTGAAGGGCTCTTCCATTCTCCACTAAGGATCACGTTCCTGGTTACTTCTCAGATCTGGCCTGCAAGAAGTCACAATGATGAATCTGATATGCAACAAATTAACTGACGTGCCTCCAAATATAGGTGTTCCTTCAAGCCTGAAGGTGCTGTCAAAAAGAAAAGAAGACAAGGGAAAAGTTATAAAAATGTTATTTTAAATAGACAAAGTTAACAAAAAAGAAAACATAATTTTGAATGATCATTCCATTTTTACTGAAAGCAGGAGTTAAAAAATTACGATATTTTGAACTTGATCTTTTATAGTTGTACTTTATTATGGGTACAAGCCTTGGTTCTCTGCTGGGCTAAATGGGTTTAACTTCAATGGTGTCTTTGGAATCACATTATTTATACCACATGTGAAATCTGGACTTTAATACTTGTTCACAAATTAAATAGAAAGTGAAACTCAGCAGAAGTTTCTTACCTGACAAGTAAATTTCCTAATCACTAAGATACTATATAAAATTCTGATTTGGGTCTTTCAGATTCAGTTCTGTGAAACAGCTTTAATTTGTAAATACTAAAGTAGTCTTAGAGTCAGTGAAGGAGAATAATGCTGCAATCTGATGCTGAGGTTCCCTGGCTGGCTGAGTTTTCTTAACTGTATTCATTGGGCAAGACAAAGCAGCAGCATCAAAAGCAGAGACCTTAGAATACTTACCTGTTGGTAGCTAGGGCACTAATTTGGGTTAAATGATTAAATTCACTTCTCCTGAGGAAAAAAGTGAGAATTTCCTCTTCCACTGTTGGTGATTTACACTCACAGGTGTAAATCTGTGAGGAGAGGGAAAATCACTTATTTGCCATAAGATTTTAGTTTTGTGAATCTACATCTTCATTTGCATTTCCTCTTATCTCATATTGACTCAAATGCTTTAAGCTGATAAAGATTGTCAAGGGGTAAGACAGAATTTCAGAATTTCTCTGTCAGAGAAAAAAAAGGTATCTAAAGTTGATGTGCTGTGAATCCTTTTTATTTTTTTTCCCAACCACTTAAGCAAAATATCAAATATTAAGGGAAACTTAGTTAACACTCAGAATTGTTACTGTGGCCCAGTGTAACCCAACAGTCTAGCAAACATGGTATAATAAATTAGTGATAACACTGGCTTGGTAGGAAATTTTTTCCTAATCAACTATTTAGAGTTTGACTTGTATTGTTAATGAAAAAAATGAATATTCTAAACATCTGCTAGCAGCTTACTTTTTAACTGAGGACAGTCTTCATATCACTAGAAACACAAAACCCTTTTTCAGCTTTCACAGTTTCAGGCTTCAGCTATATTTGGGCTAATGATTCATGTATGTTATTACCTCAGAAAAATTCCAAAAAAAAAGTTAATATTGCCCTTGACTGCAGCTTAATTCTCAGAAGCAGGATGAATAAGGTACAACAAACATATATATGTAACAATAAAAATAATAATAGCAATACTCACAAAAGAGGTAATGCAAATAGTATTTTGTCTTTGTCAGAAAACAATTGTTCCTCAAACTTATTCTGAATACAGCACAATACAATGCTGAGCAGCTGTAGACATGAAAAGCAGTATGATTTTTCTTTTCCTCTGGGTTGCAATTTATAAACATATTCAATATCATGCTGTTGTGTTTTAACCCCAATCAGCAACTAAGTACCACCAGTTGCTCACTCCCTCCCCAGTCCATGGGGGGATGGGGAGGAGAACTGGGGAAAAAAAAGATAAACTCCAATAAAATGAAAATATTATAATTATTATAATAATAAAAATAACAACAACAACGACTGCAACAAAAACGAGCCTATTAAAAAGAGAGAGAGAAATAACACCCAAGAAAGACAAGTGATGCGCAACTCAGTTGCTCACCATCTGCTTACCGACGTCCAGCCCGTCCTCAAGCTGTGACCAGCAACTCCCACCCAACTCCCCCCAGCTTATATATTGGACATGATGTTCAGTGGCATGGAATATCCCTTTGGTCAGTTCAGATCAGCTATCCTGGTCATGCTCCCTTCTATCTTCTTGTGCAGCTCCTCACCAGCAAAGCATAGGAAAGTGAAAATCCTGAGTTTAGAGTAAGTACTACTAAGCAGCAACTGGAACATCAGTGTGCTAATAAACATTATTCTCATACTAAATCCAAAACACAGCACTGTACCAGCTACTAGGAAGAAAATGAACTCTTATCTCAACCAAAATCAGGATGATTCCCCACAAAACCAGCAAGTGCTATATCAAGTATACCTGAGTTTCTCTAGCATTTCTTTCATTAAGTCATAAACCCACACAATTTGATTCATTCCCTCATTTCATCAACGTTCTACCAAAGAAGAAAAGATGATCTTTTTTTGTTTATGATGTCTGTGCTAAAGAGTACAAATTGTGAAAATGTTTTGCACCTTTCCACATTAATAAAGAATTTGTTCAAATTAAAAGATTATGATTAGACTTGCTTGGTGAAAAGTTCATAAGGTTGCAAAGCCTGTATTAAAAACAGAAGCAGTTCCTCTTGCTACTTCCCCCAAAAATACATAATTGACAGTCATTATTTACACATGAAGAAGTGAGGCAGAAAGAGGAATTAGGCCAGTCATTGAAAAAAAAATAAAAATCTCAGATTCCTATCCTGAACTGTCTAGTTCTTAAGTCTATGGTCTGTACTATTTTGATAGAGAGGCTGTACATTCAGATTGCTATACTTAATTCATCATTATAAAATCCCTTCATTACCACATAACATACCTTGTCAATAATCTCAGAGTGAAAAAACCCCTGACCTTAGCTAGGGTTCAGACAATTTATAGGAGACCATTTTGTTCACTCATCCTTTCTCCCTTTCATTACTTTGGCAGCATCATTTATTCATTTTCTTCCTACCACATCAGTGTTTAGTCCCAAGAACCAGAGAATCAGAGAAATCAATGTTACTGTTTTCCCCATTCAAATCCAGATAACTACTCTTCTATAATAAAAAATCTATTTTACTGCTCTGCATGTATTACCTGAAAAAAAACCTATGCCCTTCTGCTTTGCTCTGTTTGTCTTCTTAAAAACTGAGAATGAGTCTAGTCCCCTCTACAGTTACATCCTCCTTCTCATCATGGTCATGACCATACTGTCGCTGGACAAATTGCTATTCAGAACTCTGTGCATGGAAAATATTAAGGGAAAAGTCTACTAAATGGAAGCATCTTCTCACATCAGAGCTACAGAATGTTTACACCATTGTCAGATACAGAGAAACTCAGCTTCAATTTACAGTATTTAAAGAACAAAATATCCAGTGGCATGATTGGAAGAAACGAAGAAAATTATACAGAAGACATTATCAACTTTGAACTGATGAGTGCAGTGATGACTACCAATGATCACAGAAAGGAATACTTTTAATGCAGCTTTCTATGCTAGGTCTAGTGTCTTTTATCAAGAAAAAGGAGAAAACAACCAGGAAATGCACTTTACATTCAATTGAGAAAATGAGATTTACTTGATTTATACTAAGCTCTATAATTTCCACATCATTTTAAGAGTCTGATAAAAGCCACTGAAAGATTAGCCTAAATAAAAGCTCCATTATTTGGGCTATTTTAGCCCAGACAGTATAATTTGGACACATGTTGTTATTTGTCATAAGCATACCAGAAGTCAGAACGCAGTTCTCACATATTTAGGAGTATAACAAAAGTTCTCAAGGAAAAAAAAATACACAAAATCACATAGTAATAAATCTTCTTAAGCATAGTGCCCATATTTTCTAGATATTGTTTAAATAGTAATGACATTGTTTCAGTTACTTACTTATACCTGAAAGATACAGAAATATTTAGATTCAGACATAGACTATTTTATTTATATTAACCTAAGCTTTCTACTCCTTTCAGATAAGAGTAATTACACAATGTTAATCCCCTCAATAGAAGTAAGAATTACTAAACACAAAGGGAATGTTTTTGTAAAGTTTTTTTTGTTAGTTTCTTTTGTCCAAGAAATCCCCACCATGATCTCTGATTTTTGTGTTCAGTTATATAGTCCTGCTGAGACATCTTTCTCTGAAAAAACTAAACCACCTAAATCTAAGCAACACAGAATGTTAACAAATCCACCACCACACTTTTAATGATTCCTATTTTTTTCCTCAGAAGCTCCATAAAACTTATTTATGTGTGATTGCCCCATCCTATTGTTTCAATTCATAAATAATTTATTTGTCAGTGAGCAAAAAAGAATTCCCAATTGCTTATTGGAAATTTTCCCTTCAAAGTTTTGAAAGAGATTGTAAATGGCATGAAAAATATCTAAAGTTACAAGTTTTCTTTTTTTTTTTTTATACACTATTATTCATTTATACATTGGCAGTATGCATTAAATTCTTGCTAACCTCTCCTAATAACCCTTCCTCAACACAATTCTAAAGTTCTTTGTCATGCCAGGTTTGACATCTCCAGAGCTTTCCCTATATATAGTTCTATAGCGTCAATCCTGGATAGAAATCTGTAAATTATGTCTGAAAGTACATCATGAAAATATTCATTAAATATAATTTTCCAACTGAACTCATACTGCTTAAATAGTGTCTTTGTACGTATTTACTGTCTTTATCTGTTTGCTCAATAACATGAAGATTGTCAGAATACTGGCTCTGAGAGCTACTGTAGAATAATTTTTTTATTGTGAGAAATCAATTTTAACAGAAGCATGCAACGAATGTCAGGAGCATCATGCTTATCAACATATGAACTCATAAAATCTCCTGCTTCTTACTTATAAACTGCTGGCCAAATTGATGTGGTTGGTGCTTGTCTCAATCAAGTCCCAAACAGTTTAGATTTGAGAGAAGTAATTTGTGGGACCTACAATGCGAAATCACATCTTTCTGTTTGTTGATTACACTAGTTTTCAACATAGGGAACATCTAGGCAACCAAAGTTACCAGCTGACAGGTACCAGGTATCTTGACATCATGGGAGTCAATAGTTTACATTAGGGGTTGCCGTGATGAATGTCAAAATGTCAAAAATGTCAGAGTTCCAACTACAAAATGCTAAAAGGGGACAGAATGGCACTGGAAAAAGTTCGATGGTGTATCATGGGAAATTCTGGCAGTCTTGTTCACTGGTCACAGG